CAAATTCTAAGAAGTAACCTTTAAAAATAGTTTTTGTTAATTAAAACTTGATTAATATGTTAAGAATCTGATCTGATATGTCTGTATGAATTTGTATGCATATTCAGCTCATTTAACTGGCTTGAGAGGTATGCTCATTACATTTGGAATGATTTATAATATATTGATAGGCTCTTATTTTCCCTATGTAAATATTTTTTTTCCTTTGTGAGTCTATACTAGTGATGGCTAAGCTTTTCTGGACCGAGTGCCCAAAGCACGTGGGTGTGCACACGAACCTCCAAAATGCAATGCATGCACGCCCCCGTGCATGTGCCATGCACATGTGTGCACAGCCACACACACCTCCCGCATGCGCAGCAGAGACCCGAAGACAGCTGGCCGGCGGGAGATGCGAGGGCATACACAGTGGAGCTGAACTGGGGCAACAGTTTAAGGAAATGTAAAATACTGTTAGATTTGCATATAATTCTAGAAAATAAATGCCATTTTTAACCCATTTTATACTTAAAAACTGAGAACCTGGATTATACGTGAAATAAATTGTTCCTACTGACTTGCATTTTATATACCAGAGGTCCTATACAGTTTTTGAATTTGAAAATTATGTTTTATAATATTGGTTTATTAGCAGAAATTTTCAGAAAAATTATAGAATCAGGACAGAATTTAAAATCAGTTTTTATGGTTATTAGAATATTTTTAAACAACCTAGTGCCATCAGGTCCCATTTACTTCATTTATAATCAGGTCATGTAACAGATTCATAAATGGGATTACAACAGGAAAAGTAATTTCTTAGCTGTAAAAAGTATATTATTTACATATAATAGAATCATACTCTTCCAACTACTGCATGTAAAATCAGTGTTATCAGATTATATAAGCAAGAAGTTATAAAACCAAATTTAAAAAAATGGAGGAAGTAGATATTTGGCATGCACTTCTATACAGTTTACGAAAGAAAGGTTGTCTCATTAATAGTCACCCATATTTTAGAATTGTATGAATCATATCAATACACATATAAAACTTCGGGAAACTAAAAATTAAACATGCTTCAAAAAATTAATTGAAAGTCATTCTTAAAAATATTTTCATCGTTGAAAAAAAATTATAGTTACTGGATCCTGTTTGGATCCAGTAATTAAATTAATTAATTTAATTTTAATTAATTAATTTAATATTAATTAAAAATCTAACATTATGAAAAGATTGACAGCAGCGTATATGTGGATCTTACTCAGAAGAGCAAGACAAAGTGGCTCTTGAATATTAGCACTTAGTAAGGAAATTGTCCTAAGGATATACAGCCTATAGGGGAATCCTCATCCCTCTGAGGAATGCTATGATATTTATTTAATTAAGTTACAACATAGAAATGTATTGGAAAAGTCTTCACTAATAATATAAAATGTGTAGTTGTTTTTATTATAATCCATTGGAGCCTTCTCAAAATTAACATTTTAATGTAGATTTCTTGAGGAGAAATAGATAAAATAAGATTAATGATGATTTGATGATATGATACCATCTCTTTAAAATGAGAATCTAATTTTATTGCTGAAGAATTACTGTACAGTTTATGTATAGTATATTAGAATAACTTTTAAAAGGTGGCTAATAGATCTGGAATCTGTATACATTTCTCCCTTTATGTCCTTAAGAGATGATGCATATTATATTACTAATTTATCTGACTCTAAAAGCATAAACTTGTCTACACTTCTCTTTCTCTTCCAAATATCTTTGACTGCTGTAGTATAATACAAACTCTATTCTGGAAGCATGAAATTTGCTAAATCAAGTAAGCTTAGCAGGTTATGTATGCTTGATCAATGAAGCAAAGGGATTTTACAGGACCCAGGAAATTCATCACCTTTTGTTGCAGTGAAATGGGAAAGTAAAAAGGAAATAAACTCTGATCTCTGACCTATTAAGATACATTAATCTTAAATGAAGATAGATTTAAGGGAGAGGAAGAAAAAGCAAGGGAAAAGGGAAGAAAGAGGGAAAGAGAAGAGAACATACATGTTAAAAGTTTTATAACTACTCTTCCCAAAGTGGTAAGGAAAAAAACAAGCAAACGGATAATTAAAAACCCAAACATAGTGAAATTGAACAGCCTTAATACAAACAGATACAATAATAAATATGAGGAAAAATAATTCATATCCTTCAGCAAAAAATTAAATCGATAAAACATTTTTCAGTGTGCATACGATTAAAAAATATTTCTAAGTGCCATTTGATTATTTCAGAGCAAAGATACTGGGAAACCTGCTGAAATATTGAAAATATTAGTTTGTTGTCCTAATATATTCTTCCCAATATATTTTGCTATGTTGAGGACCTTTTTATATTGTTGGACTTCCTGAGAAAAACATATGACATTTTAATTTACATTCAATTATTTGACCATTTCTGTGACACATCTAAGAAGCCTAAGGAATGGTCAGAGTTTATCAACTATGAAAAGAAGAAGCTGGAACAGAAGTTGAATGTTAAGCTCTCTCATTATCTAAATCTAGGCAAAATCAATACTTTTGTAATTATGATTTCTAAACAATGTTTTTCTTAATATATGTGTGTGTGTGTTTATGTACACATGCAACACACACACACAGAATTCCCACAAGCTTCCCACAGAAACATCTCATCTTTTTAGCATTAAAAGAACAATAATAATCAAATATTTCTGTATTGTTGAAAATCCCAAAAATTTTTAGTGAAAGGAAATGGTGTTGAAATATTTTTGTGGGCTATCTAGACAAGTAGAAAAAAAGTTTTTTCCATTAATAAAAATGCATTAAATCGTATCTGTATGGTTCTTATGATAATAATTAAAAGTACATAAAGAATTATAAGTATGAAAATATTTTAGGAGTTTCTAGAAAATATTAATATATATTTGATAACAATACTATCTTAACTTGAAATTGGGTGGTACGACCTTACCAATGTTTTTGAATTTGTTTGCTCACTCTCAATAGTTATGTGTTTATTCTGTGAATTAGATTTAACAAGCTTGATTCATATCTTTTACTAGGTTCTACCTTATAAATACAATGAAATAAATACATGAATATGGTTTTTGAAATAAAAAAAAACTCCAACTTAGTTTATCACTCCTCCCTTTTTATGACCCACTACCCTTAATTGGGGTAGAGTCAGGGCGACTGGATAGAGTTGAGCATTTACTGGCCTGATGCCCTTCCTGATGCCACACCAAGATATTTTTCTTTGCATTCTAGGAGAGAAACATCTGTCACTACCTAGGATTAAACTCAATCTTCCTAATGGGAGGCTAGGCCACTATGCCACTCATAACTTACTTTATCACTGTTTAGGCTTTAAAAGTTTCCAATATTTTTTCATACTTGTCTGATTTATATCATGCATATAACATAAATTTTATTTTTCATGGTACATGGTTTTAGTTTTTAAAGCAACAAGTATAAACATATTCTTGTATAATTTCTTAATTGCAAAATTTGTAGTTTTTTTATTTCTTTTCTTCAGTGTTACTCTATAATTTTGCTCTTCTAAGTCTTCTACAATATTACATTTTACTAATATTACAATATTACACTTTACTAATATTTCATTGCCTTTTCCTAACTCTTTAAAATCTAATTTTAATTTCTTGAGATGTGCTTATAAAATGCTAGCTGATCCATGTGATGTGATACTACACATATCTATGACAATTAAATATCTTTTTCTATAACATCCATTTAAAGTAGTACAGAGAGAACATTATATAAGAATGTTTACATTTGCCATGGCAAAATGAAAGAGTCATTAAGCATTTCACTTAGGTTCACACAAATGAAATTTATGTTGAACTCAGTTAAACTGCCATCTTTGTCATATACTTCTCCAGTCTTGGCAGAACATAATATCTCCTACAATTCTGCAAGACTGTAAAAAGTATATGAAATGAGATGTGGGGAGTCAGAATTCAGCAGTAAAGAATATTCTTTGTAAAAATGCAAGATTCAGTCCTCGTCCTCTTGGCCAAACAAAAATTCAGTGCTGCATGATATCTATTTTACTATTATCAAAGGAAGCTAACACGTCAAAGTAAACGTGACTGAATTGCATGAAAAATAGTCGTATCTGAACATCCTAAATTAAGCCTGGTAGGACCGAAACAATAATGCTGAAATTTGAAAAATAATTATGATTACTGAATGTGATCTCCAATGTTCTGGGATAGAATTTATGTCCCTGAACAGTAGCACTCTCCCTACAATTATCAAAATTGGAGTGAGACAAAATGATAAAAAAGTAAAGAAATGTACAAATAAATTCAATTGCATTAGTCATATACAGGTGATTCTTGCTTAATGATAGTAATTGGAAGTGGCAACTCCATCACTAAGAATCGCAAGGCCATAAAGTGTGATGTCACCTGACTGCACCAATTTACAATGGCATTTGCAGCAGTTTCAGTTATTAAATATATTCTGTACAGGTAATAAGTCCAATGTTATGTGATCACCATTTACAATCTTCTGCCAGCTTCCCCATTGACTTTATTGCCCCCAAATTTGAAACTGGCAGTGAAGTTTATGAATGGTGATCATGTGATCATTGAATATTGTGACTCTTAATAGCAATAGCATTACATTTATATACCACTTCACAGTGCTTTACAGCCGCCTCTAAATGGTTTACAGAATCAGCATATTGCCCCCAACAATCTGGGTCTGTAAACTTAATTGATTCTTGATTTGTGGTTGTGAGGATGCTGTTACAGCCACAACTTGGAGCATCGGTCATAAGTTAGCTTCTTCAACAGTGTCATAATGGTTACTAACCAAGTTTATAAGGACTACTTCTAAATACAAAAGCTTGTTTTTTAATGCAACATGTATTGCATTAAATTCATGCTGCATTAAAAGAATCCAATGTTTAATAAATGACTGCTCATTTTTTTAAACATCCTACATTTAAAATTTTAAATAATGAGATCTGTACTTTCTTTTTTTCAGATCCACCTCATCTTTTCCCAACTTTTCACCCTCCAGTACCAATTGACGCAAGGCATCATGAGGGACGTTATCATTATGATCCATCTCCCATTCCTCCACTACATGTGTAAGTATGAATATTTTGAAAAAGATCATATTTGCTTCTTCTGATAGTCAGTGGAAATGTGTCTGCCAGCAAATACAGGCATAATACAGGGCCAAGCTGAGGATTTTGTACAGTATCTGGATGATAAAATAACTCAGATTCGGGAAGACTTGGCCGCCGACTGGGTTAGTTGAGACGAGATGACTGAGGCAGGCCTTGAGAGTGTTATCTGGGAGGAGTTCGATCCTGTGGCTCCCGAGGACGTGGACAGGATCTTGGGACGGCTGAATGCAACCACATGTTTATTGGACCTGTGTCCCTCCTGGTTGGTGCTGGCTTCCCGGGAGGTTACACGAGGCTGGGTCCAGGGGATTATTAACGCTTCTTTGAGCGAGGGTGTCCTGCCGGCCGCCTTGAAAGAGGCGGTGGTGAGGCCTCTCCTCAAGAAGCCATCCCTGGATCCGGCTGTTTTCGCTAACTATCGTCCAGTCTCCAACCTTCGCTTTATTGCGAAGGTTGTTGAGAGTGTGGTGGCGCGACAGGTTCCCCAGTACCTGGATGAAGCTGTCTATCTGGATCCGCTCCAGTCCAGCTTCAGACCTGGGTACAGCACGGAAATGGCATTGGTTGCATTGGTGGATGATCTCTGGAGGGCCCGGGATAGGGGTTATTCCTCTATCCTGGTCCTATTAGACCTCTCAGCGGCTTTTGATACCATCGACCATGGTATCATGTTGCGCCGGCTGGAGGGACTGGGAGTGGGGGGCACCGTTTTGCGGTGGTTTTCCTCCTATCTCTCCGACCGGTCGCAATCCGTGTTGACGGGGGCAGCGGTCGACCCCAAGGCGCCTTGTTTGTGGGGTGCCGCAAGGGTCGGTCCTCTCGCCCCTCCTGTTCAACATTTATGTGAAGCCGCTGGGTGAGATCATCCGTGGTTTTGGGGTGGAGTTCCATCAGTACGCTGATGATACTCAGCTGTACATTTCCACCCCAGACCATCCCAATGATGCCTTGGAAGTGATGTCGCAGTGCCTAGAGGCCGTGCGGGTCTGGATGGGGAGAAACAGGCTTCGACTCAACCCTTCCAAGACCGAGTGGCTGTGGCTGCCGGCGTCCTGGTATAGCCAGCTGACGTCATCGCTGGTTATTGGGGCGAATCATTGGCCCCCACGGAGAGGGCCCGCAACTTGGGTGTCCTCCTGGATGCGCGGCTGTCTTTAGAAGGGCATATGACAGCCGTGGCCAGGGGGGCTTTTTGTCAGGTTTGCCTGATACGCCAGTTGCGCCCCTTTCTGGACCGGGACTCCCTACGCACGGTCACTCAAGCACTCGTCACTTCTCGTCTGGACTATTGTAACGCTCTCTACATGGGGCTCCCCTTGCGGTACACCCAGAGGCTCCAACTGGTGCAGAATGCGGCTGCGCGGGGGATTATGGGAGCGACGGGGTGCTCCCATGTGACTCCTCTCCTGCGCGAGCTGCATTGGCTTCCGGTGGACTTCCGGGTGCGCTTCAAGGTGTTGGTGATCACCTTTAAAGCGCTCCATGGCTTAGGGCCAGGGACCGCCTTACGGGACCGCCTTCTGCCACCAATAGTCTCCCACCGGCCGGTTCGCTCCCACAGGGAGGGCCTCCTCAGGGTGCCGTCGGCCAGACAATGCCGGCTGACGACCCCCAGGAGGAGAGCCTTCTCTGTGGTAGCACCTACCCTATGGAACAATCTACCCCCAGAGATACGAGTGATCTCCGACCTCCGGATTTTTCGTCGGGCCCTAAAAACTTATTTTTTTCAGTTAGCCGGTCTGTCTTGATTTTAGGGTTAGTTTTAAAATTTTAATATTGATTTTAATTGACAAGTTTTAAATTATGGGCCAAATTTATAAATTATTTTAACTTTATTTTTAACTGTGATGTTATGTATAGATGTTTTTATCTTGGTGTTCACCGCCCTGAGTCCGAAAGGAGAAGGGCGGTATAGAAATTTGAATAATAAATAAATAAATAAATAATAACAACAAAATAATTTTATGACTTTTCTTGACGATATGGATGGCAGAATTAGGTGGAAGCTGAACCCAAGTAAGACAAAATTTCCTGGTTTCATATTCCCACTAGTAATTTCTCAACAGTCAAGCACTACCTATAAAGATTGGCTCTGTGGTTTGGAAGCCTTTTTGGATTCATGCTTTTTCTAAAACAAGTGAAACTGAGGTCAGAGAGTCCTATGGCCAGATTTGTTTGATGTATTACTTGCAGCTTCCGCTGGGCCAAAAGAAGCTGATTATATAATCCATGTCCCTGTTACCACCCAGTTAGACTATTGTGATGTGATTTAATGAACCACTCTTAGAAACTGCAATGAATACAGCAATCCACATGCTTTCTAGGTCTTACTGTTGAAAGCATATGACACCAATTATGTGGGTTCTGAATTGAATCCTGTTTTATTTCCTGGTACAATTTAAAATACTGATTTTGGTCAATCAGGTGCTTGTCATTGGGATACTTTAGAGCTCTCCGTTCCAACCAGTGTCAGCCCGAACTATTATAACATTCAAAAAGAAAGTAGTTATAATACAGGTAATCCCCAGGTTATGAGTGTTCCCTTAGCGAACATTCAAAGTTAAGCGCTAAGCTTGAGTGAGAAGGAGGAACAGCTGGGGCGTGTTCCGTATGCGCGGAGGAGATAAGAGAGGTGAACAATGGAGGACAGTGAGTCGGTACGGGAAGCAAAACAAACGTGGATGCTGAATGGCCCCTTCCTGGCTGGGGAATAAATAGGAGGAAAAGGGAGGGGTGGCTGTAGCAGACAACAGTTCGCATTTCTAGAAAGTTTGCTCTGTGTGTGTTTTCTGCGACTAAGACTGCCTTTCCAGAACTGAGGTTTGTCTATTTCTCTGACTTAATTTGCAGCCTTCCAGCTGGGAGCTCACAACCTTGCATTTATCTTAATGAGTGATAAGGACTATTGCTTCAGTTAACTCTTTGTCGGACTCTTATCTGGACTTTCTGTTGGTGAATGTAGTTAATTCCCAATGTGTAATTAAAGAGAGGTTTTTCTTTGCAGGGAGTCTGTTTCTTGCTTCTGCTAAGGCTGGATCAGAACAGGCAGAGGCTGTGCAGCATTTGCCCTGCCTATCTCCCCTCCCCCCACTCGGTTCTTCACAGGCACTTCGTCTGTGGAGACTCACTTACCTTGTGAAGATCTCTCTGTTGCAGTTACTTTGCCTACTTTGTTGCTTCAGGCTTTTGATGCATTCATAAAGAACAGAGGCGTAATATACCGCAAGATTATGTGAGATCAGTAGCACGAGATCTTGTGCTAGTGAACTTGCATGATCTCGCACTTTAGGCCTCTATTCCCTGCAAATTGAGGCCTAGATGTTTGCAAATAGAGGGAAAGCTTTCATCCTTCAGCCTTCCCTCTATCTGCCGTTTCCTTGCCGAAGCCTGCAGGGAGATTGCATCTCTGTAGGCTTCAGTAGCCCTTTGCAAAAAGCCTTTGTTGGCACTAGTGAAGTTTGGGAGGGGCGGATGCCTCCCTCTGATGCTCTGTTCCTACAGGCAGAGGCTTTTTACAAAGGGCTGCTGAAGCCTACGGGAACACAATCCTCAAGCACATTGCCAATGAGAAAGGGGGTCTGGGGTGCACGCATGGCCCTCCGTGCCTGCTTTTTCACCATCGAACCTGTCCTGAAGTGGTTCAGTGGTGAGAAAGAAGCCCCGGAGGTGCGCATGCGGCCCTCCACACCTCCTTTTTTGTCTCCAAAGTCAACCCAAAGCGGTTCACAGTGAGGAAGGAGGCCCAGAATGGCACATGTGGCCCTCCGTGCTTCCTTTTTCATCTTCGAAGTCATCCTCAGGCTGTTCAGCAACAAGGAAGGAGGCCCAGAATGGTGCAGGCAACCCTCTGTGCCTCTTCTTTAGTCAACGAAGCCATCCTCAAGCAGTTCAGTGGCAAGAAAGGAGGCCCAGAATGGCCTCCTTCCTCGCTGCTGAATCACATGAGGACGACAGTAAGAGCAGATGAATTTAACATCTGTCAGATGATTCTAACTCAATAAGTGGGGAAGGACCAAAACGTAATAATAAAAATAGTTGAAAGAGGCATTTAAGATTGATGAATCCAATCTATGCTTATAATAACAACATATCCTGTACCAAGCAGGATACTTCTTGACAGCAAGAAAAAGCAGAAAATAAGGACTTTATTCTCTTTAAGGATTAGAGGACCTGCTAACGTGATTAATGAAAGTATGGAAAATTTCTCACATTAGTGCATGCATGTTTGTCCCCCAATTTTAAGTTAATTAGCCTGTTGCACATGTGATATTGCCCTAATGTTGACATTAAGATGCCCTCCAGAGGTGGGTTCAAAAACTTTTACTATCGGTTCTGTGGGCATGCCTTATTTTGTGTGTGTGGCTTGATGGTCATGTGACTGGGTAGGCGTGGTCAACTCAATGTCACTCACATCAAGGGGAGTCATAGTTTTTTGACCACGCCCCTTGTTCCTTCCTCTCAGGCCCAGTTTCAACTCAGTTGGCCTGAGAGAAACATTTCTAGCAGATCTGGCTTTCAGCCATTATCTGTTCGATTATCTCAGAGTCACTATGAGTTTTTTGACCAAACAATTCTTTAGGATTTAGCAGAGGTACTGGTCTACCAGGCTTTTAACTGCTTGCAGAGTTGTACCGGTCTACCCATTTGTTTTTAGAGTACACTGGTCTACCACCACACTGCCTTTTACCGATGACCAGCTGTAGGGCGCCACGGCAAGAGTTTAAACAGTTTTTTGCTGCTCTGCCACCACCAAGAGCATCAGAAACCGCTTTCAGGCAGCTTGGCCTCAATTGCCAATCTACCACCACTGAGTAGTTTACAAGGAGCAGATTGGTTCTAGCCGATCAGTTGGGAGGCTTCTTGGCTTCTTAATTTAAAGCTACAGTGTCTTCTTGTCTTTTTTTCTTCTCTTCTTTGTCAAGTAAGCCCTGATTTTTTCCTTCCAGCCGATCAGCTGG